GTTTGTCCTTGCTTCAGTGACCTGCTGTGCTGCTGGGAGTTCATGACTTAAGCACACTCACATCCAAGTTTCCATGAACACTCTTCATGCCTCTATCACAAAGATGAATAGTACTGCTTTCCTTGTATCCCACTCTCTTCTCCTTGGGATGGGCAAGGAGACCGGCAAAACCAGCTCACTGAGGGGTCAGTACTGGGGATTAAGGCAGGGAAATGAGCCACCTAGATCTCCAGAGAAAGAGTAGTAGGCAATCTGGTGACCTGTCTAATGGTAGGAAGGGTAGCAACTGAAAGGCTGGGCCAAGCCCAGTTAGTCTGAAGCCCAGGATGACACTTTGGGTTCGTTCACTCGTTTCTTCCAGGTGAGGTGATTGGAGGTTTTCCTAATGAGAACCCTGGCAGCCAGTGCTGTAAATCACAACCAGAACAATCGGGATGAGCAGTGAGGTTATTGCCCTTGGCGCTGGAGGGACCCTTGTGGGGAATTCGGGTGCTTCTGTGGTGTTCTGTGAGACTTTAAAGCAGACCCAGAAGACTGCAGCAGGAGGGCAGCTGGGCAAGTCTCCTTGATGTCTTAGAGACTTCAGTGGAATGGTACCCTCATAGCCAGAAGCCAGGCCCAGGCATGATCTCTGACCAACCTGTTCAACCCCAGGCAGACACTTCCTGAGTGAAAAGCAGCCAGGCTTATGTGACAGTAATGATAAAAATTGTGGGGTTTTTTTTTCCTTGACTGGAATACATGTTTTACTGACTTTTTTTCTTTTTTTTCTTTGAGCTCTTTCCAGTTTTCTGATGCATCAAATCATTCTGGTTTTGGTTTTCAAACATTAGCAAGTTCCTTTCATACCTGGGGTGGCATGCTTTCTTTTCCTTGGTCTTTACTGTTACAGGGCTAACCTGTGCACAAACTCTATCAATCTTTGCATTTGTAGAGCTTTGGAGTACACTGTTCTTGAGATTGTTCTGGCACAGTCCCAGGCATGTTTCCCTAACCTTTCACTGATGTCTGTCTCTCTTTTCCCTAGTGAGGCCCCTATTCGAGATGTTATTCTACACCAAACATCTGGACGGATTCACAACAAGAATGTTTCCACTCATCTAATTGGTAGCATTGGTCGAGGTGAGAGATTAGGAGCTTGGGGTCTGTAGCCCAACAGTTGCCCCTGATAGTTTTTCAGTATGTCAGTCCAGCATGAAGTCAGATTTCCTGTGGTTGAAAAATAACGGTGGGAGGCAGCTGCAAGAACTGAGGGAACTTGGCTTCTGTGAGTCAGCTCCCAAAGAAAGACAGATGGATATCTGCATTTGAACTTTTTATAGCCTTTGTCCTTCCCTAGGTAGCTCTTACTTTTCACCTAGCACAACAGTTTTTCTGCAGCCTCTACTGGCCTGCATTTAGTCATCCTGAATGGCTGTCATGCCTTGCTCGTGCAGATGTCCTTGGTCTTTGCTTTTGCATGGCTGCAGCTTATGCCCTCTTCGTATTCCCTAGATGCATCTCTTCTGTTCCACAGCCTCATCTTTATTCTTGCTTTTGTGCTTTTCAGCATTTGATTCCCGATACCTGGCAGCTATAGCCTGCTCTTCCGTCACCTACGCAGTCCCAACTCCTCCAGAGCTGCTTCCATATTTCATTTATATCACTGTCCTCTGTCTCCTTCCAATGTATTCTGTTCAGCTGTTGTATCTAAACTCTCCACAGCTGCTAGTTCCTCTCAGCCCTGACACACTGCTGTTGTGTCCAGACTTTTCTTACACACTGCCACCGCTTCCCTTGTGTATCTGCTTTGTGCTCTCACCTGTGCCTGGTGCACCTGCT